GTACGGACATAAAATCTCTTGACAGCTTACACGTGTTGAAAATACCTCCGGAAACGCGAGGTCTCCTACCACCACGGGAAGTTGGTTCTGAATTCTCGGAAAATTATCCTCATTGCTGTTTAACACTTGATACAAATGTCTCTCGATGTTACTCCGGCGCAAGCCATCTTGAATAAGCAGCGAGAGCAGTTTGAGGTTAGAATGTGACAACTGTGGGCAGCTGCTCTGTGGTCTGTAAATTCGTGTATGATATAACTAGAAAAGATATCAATGTTGCGAAGGAGATTATTTTGATCTTTTGAAATTTTGCTTTAATTTTTGGTAGAAGAGGCATTGCACTCGGGTAGGCTATGAAAGAGAAAACATAAATATGGTTTTATATGACAAATTTTTTAAACTGATCCGTAATTTGTAAGTTTTATATTATTAAAGGATTAAATAAAAATAATATTAAGGACGATAATGATTTCATGTACAATAATTCGTTACTTCAGAGGATTTTTTATTAGGAAATATTAACGATAAAAGCAGAAAAGTGGAAAAGAATTTTATTTCGGAAAGAGCTTTGGTTGACGGTACGGCGGTTTTTATCCCAAGGGATACAGTAATTTGTCATTTGTAATTTAATTCGCCAGTATTATATTTCCCAAAGAACGAAAATTCACCGAATTCACGTTGGAACGCTGCACAGAACACAGACAGACGCAGAAAGGCTATCGAGCAACGTGAACACTTGAAAGAGAAAAAATCTTCCAACTGTTTTGAAATATCTATTTATCCCCGAAAGGAATGGGATTGAACGATTCTCATCATAAGAGCTTTACACTGCTCTTCTTGCGGAGACTTCGAAAATCTCTGTGACGTCAAGTCCCGAGAGAAATGCTTTCCCTGAGAGTTTCACCTGTCTCTAACCCGTTCTCGGAAAAGTTAGTGAGAAAAACTCTCTGTGTAAAAGCGCCTTAATGACGTGACGGAGAATTTCGGGCCATGACATCAAAGATGAAAAATTCGGTTGGATAAGTACAGGAGAGTGATATCATTGGATATTGCAAGTTTATAAATTGGAAACTGATAAAGAACAAAGATTACCCTTCTGGACGATGAAACTTTAAAAATACTTGGTTTTCCACAGTCCGTCCGAATCAACACACTCGTTACTAACGACACATCTAACACTGAGAGAGTGTAAACGATTGCAATGGACTTAAAACTCAACTCTCTGCTTAGAAACCATGTGCAGGCCACCGAAACATCACCAAATCAAGTACTGAGCGTTTATTACTATTCAAGGTCGCAAGGAGGGCGAGGTATTGTAAGATCCATAAACTCTCACAGCTTCAATTGCTCACTTGAAAAATTTGATCCAGCGTTCACGAACAATCATTGACAACGAAGGAAGATGCTTATGGAAGCGAAGGCCTGCATGGAAGGTAAGCCTCCAGACTGAGTAAGACGAAAGTGACATTTCGCGTCGCTCGCATGTCTCCAGCACTGCCGTCGGCGCAATGCTCCACAGCACGGGGTCTGCTTTCCGAGACAGAACGCCTTCATGATAGCTATCGCAGGACCAAGTGTAAAATTGAACTACAGAAACATTTGAGAGATTCTCTTCATTCCGACTCCGTAGAAGATGTGAGGCTGCAAGCGAAACTATCCACACGTGTTACAGTGATGTAGCAGCCATGCACAGTTGGAATACAAAAAGAGGCTGAATGAAGTGGGCAAGCGTCACGATTATTGGCATTGAGAAGGCTTCTCGCATTCGTGGCGTATTATAAATATGTGCCTCAGAATGTGTTGAAAGTATGAGCACACCTCTACTGAGATCGCTCCATTATATGAGAGGACATGGCCGGCAATAGACAGATATAACGTACATTGATAGACACCATCAGCAGGTTTTCCTTATCGATATATCAATACCCAATACCCACCACATATCGGAAAAATATCAAGAGATCCAGAAGTATACCGATCTCGCCCATGAAGTCGCATCTAAGTGGAACTTCAGTAAAGTGACAACTATGCCTATAATAATATCAGCTTCAGGAGTGATCCCAAAAATTACACTTCGGGCACTGGAGTGTCTTCACTTGGATACCAGGAATGTATATAATATGCAAAAGTGTGTAATTTCGAATACATGCCGCATTGTCAGAAGTCATCTGAACCTTCAGTAAAGCAACTACACACCTGGTCATCACTCCCGTGTGTGGTTGACATACCGACCAGTAGATACTGTGAATAATGTAAGATAACAATAATAATAATAATAATAACATTAATAATAATAATAATAATAATAATAATAATAATAAACAAATATTACACTGTAGATAACTGCGGCTACATGGGACCAAGAAATTCAAAATTATAATTTACTTTTAGTTTACAAGATAAAAGTTTCCTCAATGTTACCAGTAATTGTAGTTCGCGTCATGAAAATTCCAGTCTCCTTCTCATCACTTCGCCTCTCCCCCTGAATCGTTGCAGTGGGAGACGCTGGATCTGAGGCGCCTCCGATGACGTACGAGGGTGTGTCATTGCCTTCCGCTTACGGAGTTAGGAGAGGTGTCACAGCAGCGGAGCGGATCCGGCCGATTATTTTTCGAGAGGTGTATATATTTGTATAAATATATTTTTGTAAATAATAAATTTATTTGTTATTATATTGTATATTATTTGGAGATTCGAACTCGGAGGATTGAACTCGAGTTGTAGGATAAAAGAGCTCGTGCGTATACTCCGCTCATTCTTTCCGGTACTTGACAACGGAAGATCTTAGACCAAGGTGGAATGATAACGGAATACCTTAGAAGTAAAATGCATCTAAAATAAGATGTGAGGAGAGGGAATAATGGTGATATTTACAGAATTAGTTTACTTAAAAAAAAAAAAAAAGTTCCAAATCGGAATGGATATTTTGAGTAATGCCTCAAACAATTTTAAGAATTCGAAGGAAGACGGAAATTGTGAAAATGATAGTTATGTATTACTATTACAGACCATTTACCTCGGTCTGTAATAGTAGTATAGCATCTTTAGTTTGATATGTGTGGAAAAATAGATTGAGATGCAAAGTGAGGAAAGCATAAACCGACTGTCTGGCTTGCCTGTCCCGCCTCCTCCACCGGGACCAGAGTGGCAGGGACTGGCCGGGCCACCGCGCCGACTGAGGGCCCACAACCGGCGCGGAAAGGGGAGGGGGGCAGGTGTTTTCCTAAATTTCACTTTACGCTCTTATTCATCCGATTTGCATGATTGTCACGGCGTTGTATTCAAAAAGCATGTCGCCATCGCGCTATAATCCTACATTTTTTAATTTTTCTCAGAAGTTTGAGAACTAATTTCAAATTCGCTTTGTTGCTAGATGTTTGAAAAACGGGCTTCGTAGCTTAAATTCTATTTTAAAAAGGCGTCAAATGTCATTACAGATCAAAAATCGTACCATTGGTTCAGACGTTATCGGTAAAGTAAATTTTACTTAATTTGGTGGTGCCACGTGGTGTCTACAATTTGTACTAGTATCGGGACATTTAGCCTTAACAATGTACTGGCTGTGGCTACTAGGGTCCAAATCAGCGCGCGGCGATGGTGTAACGGGTAGCGTATAGTATTGTACTCAAGTTGGCAGGGTCAAACCGATCGTGGATTTTTTTAAGGCCGAAAAATCCTTCGTATGCCTTCCTTTGGAGGGGAAGAAAATCCAGCTGACCCATGTTAGTAGATTTACTTGCTTGTAAAAGATCAAGCTTAAATGACGCTTCTGATTCAAATCGCCCTACACCTCCTTTCTCTGCTAGTTGGTGAAAGGAGCGTAGCGAAATTCAGACGGAAGAGTCTCGTCACGTAAAATAAGGCATTAATTCAAATCAACAATGCCTCTTAAAAACAAGTCTTTGGTATACCATGTACAGTTAATCTCAATCACTTCCTGGTACTGTACTCAACACTTAATCTCACTTCCAGATTCAGTTGAGTTGCCACTGGGCAACATCACTGTTGTAATTATAAATTAATTATTTTTGTATATTCTTAAAATTCATCAAAAGCTCAAATTGTAGAACTAATTGTGGATGAACAGAAGTAAGAAAAGAAAAGGTATGAGATCACTAATGACAATTTTAGTTATGAAAAATTAACATTAGTTATTATAATTTCATAGTCTATTAACGGTTTTTAGTTAGTATATACTTAAAATAGTTTTAATTACATTGTAATAAATTGTCTCCTTGCAGTATGTTTTATTAATTTACAAGTAAAAAATTCTTATGGAAATAGGGGCCCAGAAATGTAGTTAGTCCCCCTCTTTTTGGGCTCTGCATGCATATCATATATATACATGCCTTGCATCATGTCTATTACCATGCAACAGGAATAGATAAGTAACAACTTATTTGAATGTTTGTGAACAATATGCTGTTCACCGGAGTAGACATGCATGGGATGTATGGAGCAGACACATCCTAGGGCTTGGCTCTAGGAAGTCCTTTGCCACATCAAGTTCATTCTGAGAAATAAGTAGGTTTCATTTTAATATTCCTTGACAGAGGAAAGAAAAAAAAATGTCACAGTACAGCATCATATGTTACACTGACATCACAGTTCCTGGCACACAAAATATGATAAATTGATAGGGTGAACATGTTACTAAAATTGTCTTCTTTTTGACAAATATACAACGTATGACAATCTAGAACCAAGTATTTCTTATTTTGTATGTAAAGTTGGGTTGGGTATTGATGATATACAGGATGTAGATGAACAAAGCATTTACACAATTGTATAGGCTAGCAGAACTGGCATTGATTTACATTGTACTCAACACAATTATTACTAAATATGAACATCATTTTCGACAATGAAACTCTTTCATTACAAACTGCACATAATGAACTCTTTCATAAGCTGCAGAACAACTGGAAGGATCAACTAAAGAAATATTGTGCACTTATTTTAGTGTTATCTACAGGCAAAAATTGCGCTCAGAAGTAGATTCTAATCAGCTGACAGTGGATTAATTTTTGCAAATAAAAATAATAAATTAATATTTCACATTTAAAAGTTTAAAATTTTATTTAAAATTCAATTGTAAATACATACTTTGCCTTTGCTTCTGCTCTATTAATATAAAAATTTCTTGCTTTACCTACTTTGGGCTTTAACTGTAAACCAGTTAAAGCCTGTCACAGAGGTGTCGCAATGGTGCTCATTAACTAATCCTAATGACTTCACCTGCATCGATGCCTGCACACAGTCTCTTAATCACGCATCTTAAATTAGCTCTATATCTTACGCAAAAAGGGAAAAGGGGCGCTCTTGGTGACGTGTGCTGAGTACACAGCTCAAGCAAGATGCAAAAGCTACAATGTCAATTAAGATCACGCAAGTTTTCTACCTTTCAAAGTGTGATGCACGTTGCCAAGACCGCTCTTGGGCCATTTTGCACAGATAAAATATTAATTTACAACATGCATAAAGTGATGGTGTGAGCAGGCTTTGACGCAGCTGACATCAGCGATAGGTGACAAGCATCAACGTAATGCACATATGACAGGAAGGCACGTCACTCACTTCAGACTACAATGCAATATTTCTATAGAAGTAGTGCTTGAAGGAAAAATTACCTTTTATTTTATAAAACCACTCTGAGAAACACAATTAATCATTCTCTGATCAATTAAAGTACAAATGTACCCTTAATATTTAACATTGCTTCATTTATTAGCACTACAAAATATACAAAATGAAATTCAACTTAAATTCAAAATAGTTTTCATAGAAAATCATTTATAAAATTGGGAATATCAAATAAAAGCTATTCATTGTTATTCAGCATCATAAAATTCGAAACCAAAATGAAAAAATAATTAGTATCATAAATTGCATATAGTAGCAAATAATATGGATTAGAAATCTAATTTTCACAATGCTCAGGGGGGTTCAACTCATGTTGTAGATGACGGTGTCAGATTCTAGTTTAAAAGTATAAAAATCATTCTTGAATTATCTGATGACAATTTTTTAAATATATTTTTGAACTACTACACAAAATGAATTATAATATAATCTGATTTAGAAACGTCTTTTTGCACCAGATAACGAAATGAGAACCCATCATAATACAAAGTTTATTTCTTAATAGAGCCTTTCCATCCAGAAGTGTTAATGGAACAAATTTATCAAACTTCCATACTAAAATCAAACTATCCTTGTGGCTGTTTACCTGTTGGATTAAATTTCACACAACAAAATCTCTTTTTAAGACAAAATCCTTGCCTCACATGGCAAGGATATGATTGATATTCTTTATATCTTCCTTTTTGGCTTCGAAATGTGAATGTGGGAATGTCATAACAAATTACTTTAGCATTTCATGTTCAAAAATATATGATAATAATGAAGGTAACAAAGATGAAACAAAGAACAGCAATTAATTCTAACAAATATCCCCACCAAAAAAAATCAAGGATTTTAACTACATAATTATTGTTATATTGACTTTGAAATCCAAGAGGAAAATGTGCCGATTAAACTATATCACTTACAATAATACAATTCATAAAAATTATAATAAAATCTCTGAATTAAAAATTATAAAAAGTTGACAATTTCAAATCTACGATATCCAAGTGTACAAAGAAAATAGTGAAAACAGCTGCATAGTAATTTTTGTCAAAATGCAAGTAAAGAATCTGAATAATTTATTTTATATATACAAATATACTCCATCATATGTGAATATAAAAAGTTACACAAAATCTCATATTCAGGTACCTACAGGAATGTAGAAAAGATAATACAAATCTACGAGTCAAAGGGGACGGACTTGTTGCAGATCAAAATAACTATATATATATAAAATTGTACACAAATATATCTCCCAATTCATCAACAGGATCCCTGGTGTAAAGTAACATCCTAGGATGCGAGTCATGAGCAATTAGCCAAAAGGTAAGCAAAGATAATCAAAGGAATAGAAATTAAAATGGTTGATGCACCATTGCATCTATTATCGAAGTAGCAGAAACACCATGTTGTTTCATCATAGTGGTCCCTGCAACAGAAGAAAAACAATATTTAAAAAGATAAATTTACATTAAAGCAAAAGAAATGAATTTGTTAGTTAATGCAAATTAAAAATCTTTCTCTGTGAACAATACACAGTACTCAAAATATAAAATATTTGTAACCTTTTAATATCCAATTCCTTGATAGAATTATTCACATAATGGGCCAATCGCACATCTCGAGCTGCTGGACGGCATCCTTCATAATGATCTTCTGGAATATCAGTACGAACACTTCGCAAAGAACTTAAACACTCACGAGTAATAATAGTTTCCACTGAAAAATAAAAATTATGATAAAGATTATGAAAGTAGTAGTAGTAGTAGTAACAATAACAATAATAATAATAATAATAATAATAATAATAATAATGAACATTAAAGCAGTTTCCAAGTACTGTAGAGCCTCGTTTATCCAGATCAACTCGGGCAGAGCCGATCCGAGTAAACAAAAATCCAGGCTACCCAAAGAATGAATGATTAAAAATAAAAAAAGATCATAGAATGATAAACATTGTAACGAAAGAAAATGGAACAATGAAACAAACAATAAAAAACTTGAAATAATTATAGACGTCATTGCCAACAATATTATTAAATGTAAGAGCAGCTTTCGATGGCTTAGCCATCATCTTACATTAAATAAATATTGTTGGCAATGACAACGTCTATATATATTTCATGAAAAGTGCCAATGATAACACACCACAACACCTATATAATAAAAAACTTACCAATTACATTTTTAATGCAGTTTAAAAATTATTGACACACTTTCGTCAAATTTATGCATAGTAAAAAGTATTTACACTGAACTCTACATGCATTGGTACAAAAAGGTCTGCGACCCTGATAATGACCATACCATCACCAGGGCAACTTCCTATTCTCCCTGTCTCTTCTGTGGTTGGCGCGTTGCTGAAAGCATGGGGAGGGGAAGGAGAGGGTCGGCAGTTGGTGTGGAGACAAAGAACTCTACCGCTGACAAATTAATTTAAGTAATAAACTTATTGAGAATTACAGATTTATCATCTGTAAAACACATCTTCATTTATTATGCTGATCATGTTTTTTCCAAAACCGGTTTGGGTTAATGAGGTTCTACGGTACTTGCTGATTTGGAATGGGTTAAATGCGAAAGTATGCATTAACAAATTTTGACTCCTTTTTTGAAGATACTAATGATAATATTCTGCAAAAATTCTCTCACACTTCCTTCATTTTTTATACAAGAAATATTTAGTTCCTCACTATGAGCACACTTTCTGCTGATCAAATAATTAACCTTCAATTTGAAATACAAGGGAAGACGCAGTTTCAGTCTGAGTAAATAGTGAACAAATGGCTGGCATCCTACTGCCTTGTATATTCAGTTAGTGCAATGACGGATCGCTTGCGATCTATATACTACAACTACTACATTTATAAAATTACATTTTTCAATATATTTTAATAACACCTGTTAGTTTGCTTATTTATATAGTTAAAAGCATTTTGTTAAAGTAGGGTACACGGTACACCCTCAGAAGTGTGGCAGTGGGGAGGGGGGGTAGAGGTCTCCTTAAACCCTCCATCAAATTACGCTACACGCTCTGATAGAAATGAATAAAACATACGGATAGGCAATTTTCATGGCTCGCCCTTATCTTTAGTTTGATGAATGAAATATTGTAATAAAACTCTTACATAAAAGCAATTTTGCTGTAAATAAAATTCCTAACAAGTGAAACCATAATCAATAAAAAAGTTAACACATATTTACCACCACTAAAACGCTGCAATCAGGGGGGCTTTTGTTAGACATGGACTTTATCAAGCAACAGAACTTGTTTCTTATGTATTTTGTTATAGTCTGTGTTTGCAAATCATAAGTAAATTAAAAGATCTAAAGAAACACAACTAACCTCCTTTCCTTTCAATAATTTTAACACATCGATCATCTGCTTCTGGACAAACTTCTCCCCAGTACCATAGCCAATTAAATGGTGTACCACAACCAGGGTGTGTTGATACACAACGATAGCAATACAAGCTAAAAGGTGACCAAGCTATACCTGCAACATAAGTAGAACGGTCACATTTCGCACGATTAAAAACAATACATTTATATTCAAAATATAACCAATCAAACAAAGAAATCATCCACTTTTATATTAAGTATACTTACTCTCATTAGGAGATAATAATATAGCAGCAATCACAAATAATAATTTCATTTTAACATAAGACACTAATACACAGTACTTTAAAAAATCAAATATTACTCATTAAATTCAAATAAATTGCACAATTATCTAACGTACACGCCCATAGGAAGCCAACCAAAGCAAAAGCAACATCAGTAACAACCGTGGCCAGGGGCGAACAACTACGTCTTTCTTTCGCGTAACCCACCTACAGTGCTGCGCTCGAAAGTGAGGCAACATTACTAAGTCACACTTCCCCGTGGTGGGGGTATAACTACTGTACAGACTGACACGTTGCCAATACTGGTGTGCCAATATTTATCTTATTCAATAATATGCCTAGAAGAAGTTACTTATCCCTATTTTATTTGCATTTGGCAGAAATGCGGCATTTCTGGCCTTGTGGTTCTTATATTCTGGTAAAAATATATCCCACAAATTTTCCGACTCTGTAAACGTCAGTTTGTTCTTCCGTTATTCAAGAATGCTTCATAGACATTTTTATCAATAATTATAATAATGAGCTTACCTCCACCTAGGGAGTACATGACCTTGTCGTTGGTGGTGGAGCTTGCATACCCCAATGATCCTGAGAGCTAGGCCGGCGGTAGCGTAGCTACTGGCAGGGCCACCCTTGCCGGACAGGCCGAAGTACTCCAGAAGAGGACCTCAACATCAAGAAAAATCCTCACTGGGCAGACGCAGCTCAAAAGACGTAGAGAAGGCAATGCGTCTAGGAAGAGCAACCCGAAAAATCTGCCCTGCAAGTTTGGAGGCAGTAAGGTGGCAGCCCCACCACCAAACTATCCCTGCGTGGCGCCCGTACCGCAACCAGGCGAAACTTACCTTACTGACAACTCTCAAGAGAATAGCCGGACTGTAAATGAAGATAACAATGATACGAAAAAGGATAAACGATCTAAGAAGACGAAAAACATGAAAATCACAACCTGAAATGTTAAAGGTTTGATAAACAAAGAAACCCAACTAATAACCGAACTGGAAAGATTTGGAGCAGACCTATGCGTCGTAACAGAAACCAAGAAAAAGATGAAAGGCTCTAAGGAGCTGAGAAACTACCTAATGTTTTACAGTGGAGTTACACAAAACATTAGAGCAGCCGCAGGAGTAGCAATACTGATAAAAAAGGAATGGAAAAACAAAATTAAT